ATAATGAACACCATTACCACCAATCAAACGAAGAACTGACAATACTGTGAACCATGCCAGTGTGTACTTGCATCCCTTTAATACTAGTGATGTCTGGGAATGTACATGTAACGAACACAACCACCGCCACCAATCAAACGAGGAACTCACAATACTGTGAACTATGCCATTGTGGACTTGTATCCCTTTTATACTAGTGATGTCTGGGAATGTACATGTAGTGAACACCACCACCACCACCAATCAAACGAAGAACTCACAAGTCTGTGAGCTTCACCAGCGTGTACTTGCATCCTTTTACAACTACTGATATCTTGATATATCATACGTATGAATGGATTTCACCATGCCACTCCAGACTCGGCGCAGAACAACGGGCAGTACTGTGTGTCCTTCTTGAACGACAAAGTGCGGCATTGCAGAGTTTACCTCAACGAGCGTGGAGCCTACTACTTGACAACCAATAGGGTATGTGTGGTACAGAGGTTGTAACAGATACTGTAGACGTCTTTGTGCATAGTCCTTTGGTGGTTTAGATAGCAGAGTGTATGTGTGTGCATTTGAATCATTTGCAACCAACGGGGTATGTGTGGTGCAGAGGTTGGTTCAGATACCACAGAAGCTAGAGTACATGCTTGTAGTAGTAGAGCGTGCGCGTACGCATCTGAATCATTCAGTAAGTTGAACTTGTACGCTCACGTTTACCCAATTTGGGACAAGAATTTCTGGAAGAAAAAACTTGGCACCAAATCACAGCCTTGACAGCCAAACCAACGTTCCAGGACATCATCGATAGGCAGTGTGCAAAGACATATCTGGGATTTTCATTGTTATTACCCGATGACATTGAATGTATCTTTTGTTCTTTCCAGAGATTTCAGAATTCACCGTACTTACACTTGACTAGTTGGTATGGACAAATACGATTCAGTCTATAAATATAGTACCTGAAATCTGAACAATGAGCGTAACTTATCCTCTTCCGTTTGCAGCATTCCTTCAACACTATCGGTGAATTGATTGACTATTACAAATCGTCGTATTTGACTCATGCGGCTGGCGAAGATGGTGTCCAGCCGACTCTGTTTAAAGTATGTATATATATGTATACATATATATTTATAGATATA